ATATATGTATTATTTTAATAGCTCAGAATAAAATCTTGACTGAAGGGCATTTGCCATGTTGATTTGGAAAAACTCAAAGCGCGTGCTTAAAAATTAAGAACATCTATATTTTCTTAACTAAATACCATGTTGAACACGGTGTAGAATCGAGAGCTCTATTTCTAATGTAAAATAATTAAGAAATCTGTTTCAACATAGCAAGAGTAATGTAACAGCTTTTCTTTTCTCACCCACTCCTAGCACACTGCAATCCAACCAATTTTAATGGGTTTTTTTAAACTCCAGAAAGGTCCTCAACTTGTATTTTTAGATTTTATCCTCAAAGTGCTCCTCTACAATGTCCTTACATAACCAACCAGTGGTTGAGCTCATAAAGTAACCTGATTGAGATACTCGCTCTGATTATTTATTTGGGAGTTTCTTGAAACCTCATGATACTGCCAGGGAAAAATCACACTTGTAGCAAGTAACTTCAGAGTACCATATTTTGTATCGTCATATACAGGCTCTTATGTCAATTCCGGTATTTGTCAGAAAAGTACCACACCGACAACCACACATTTTTAAAATTCCAGTTCAACAACAACTGAAAAAACAGTTTGTATCATTGACATTATAGCATAAACATATTCTGCTCATTCGTATGTCTTCCATTTTCCTTCTATTTGAACAAAGCAAGAAAAAAAGGAGAAAAATCCATCTTTTGAAATTACGCAGCTCAACTGGCAGATTAACAACGTAAAACAGTTGGGGAGAAAAAAAAGACTTTATCAAAATAGATGGGGTTTATAGCAACAAGTAAATTCTTACACAAGTACTGAGAGAAACTCAGCTTGTGTATATAAAACAACTTAAGTCAAATTGAGTTTCACTACTGAGTAAGATAAATTTATTTTCTAAAATCATCCCCAAAGTGTTGATCATTACAGGAACAGGACTGCGTTTAAAGAAAACTGTCCCACTTGAATTCCCAGCACTCACTTTCTCCACAAGCTGGTTTGGCTCAGTGTTTTAATGCTATTTTAACTTTCTCAGATATCTCTTTAGAAATAAGTTTGAAAAAGATTTCTACTTAAGCATAAACAATCAGAAAGAAGAGTTTTGCTATGAGTCCCTTCCAATCACTTCATTTTCCTATTTCCATACAACAACTTTTCAATAAAAGGCAGTAATAAAAAGACAATTCAGGATAAACTTCAATTACATTTTCTCACATTGTCTTAAGTCATACACCTCCTTTTTTCTTGAAGGTCCAGAAGAAGAAGGAAAGGAAAATATCTAGATATTTACATAATAGAAGAAAAATCTTTACCGAGTTTAAGGTGGGTTTGCAAAATTTATTTTTGGTCCACTGACCAATTATTACTAGGGAAGAAAAAAGATTTAGTACACCTAGTTCAGAATAATTATTCATTTATATTAACACAAAATGTTGCACAGAAAATCATGAACAACTTCAGAAAGCAGCAGTCCTATGACTATCAGTTGAGACCACCTTGCACAAGCCAGATCATTCAATGTGATATAAAGACATACCTTTTTATCATATACATCTTGCCAGTTTACTCCAGCAAAGAAACTATGACGCATGATTTCTTTCGCATCATCTGGGCCTCCACCAAGTCTAAAGAGAGTGGGAAAAACAAAATCATATTAAACAAGCGTTGCTCTTAAAGGGAGATTAAGTTATTGTGGTTGGAAAAGTGACCATTGGGTTCTGACTCTCTGGGAATGTAATTCTCACCTGGTTAGTATCTTGAGATCAGGTGATCTCACGAGAAAATGTGATACTAGAAGCATCATTGCCATAGTCTATTCAATTATTCCAACTACGGTGTTCATTACTGCCCATGATGAGCTTTTTGAATAATTGATTACTTTTAAAAACATACTTAAATTCAGTTTTCTTGAAAGACCAACAAACATTTTGGCACTATTAAAAACCAAAACCAACCCAATGTTGCTGACATAAAATTTTGCCAAGGAGGTGCCAGGCACTGAATCAGTAATGACTCACACATCATTTTTATACAGTGTTCACTGCTGTTGCATCTGGGTGCTGTAACAATTAACCAATTACCATAAAATAGTCTCAATCTGAGTCAATTAGTATAAATTAATAAATTGTAGGCCTGCTGAGAAGGTTACTGAAAGGCCATCGTAAATAACCACACTATTCACTGTGGCCCACAGCTTGCCAAAGCCGGACCGTCTGGTAAATCATCTTAGGAAGTGAATTCCACCTACTTTGGGTGAACTTGCCCAAGGTGATTTCAGCTCACTGAAGCGGTCACTCCTGCCAAAAGAGGAGGGTCCCACCCCTGCCCATACCTCTCCTCTCTCACATGCATCCACAGCAGCATTCGCACTTGATGACTGTGAGCTGAGCCAGGTCACTAACCTGGAAGAAAACTAACTCTGCAATGGGAAACCGAGGAGGAACTGGTTGGGTTTTTTTGTTGCACAAGCAACAGAAGTCAGATTTGACTCAACACGTTTAGCGAGCTTCCTTGAGCTGCTGCTGCTGTTGATGGAGAAAGTACTACGTATCCAGCAAAGGGAACCTCTGCCCCTTTCAACAGCACATGGACTTCCAGGCCTGCTCAGCTCCCCCTGAACTTCTTCATGGGCCTGGCTATCCTGCCAGTCTAACAGAAAGAGGTTTTGACAGAAAAAAAGCTAATCTGAATGGAACAGGCAGCCCACACGTGTTAGGTATCGACAGGAAAAGTGACACAAGAAGTTCGTATTTCAGTAAAAGGAACTACTAAAGCTACAAAGACAAAATTTATAAGCAACCTTTTAAGTAAGATAAATTCCCCTCTAAAGCATTTATTGCAAGGAGCAATAATCTCCACAACCAAGAAAAAAATAAATCTGTATTGGTATTACCCTGCTGCCAAATTACAAAAATATTCTGGACTACTACCTCAGGCTTGCAGTAACTGGGTGTAACGTTATTCTCATTTCCAAGCTGTGTTCCTCTTCGTTTCTCAGCTACTCATTCTAAAATTCTCTGTGTCTCTGCCAAGCACCCCAATTAGCCTGCAGTCTCCAGACTTCTCTCAATATCTTCCCATCCAGCTGCTCAGAGAAAAGCTGTGTTGCAGTTAACCTCTGTGCTCCCACCCTATTTAGCCAGTAGCAGAACTTGAATATGGGTAAGATTGTAAACGTAAGTCTGTAATAAACACTACTGTCTGCAAAGATTAATTACAAGCAAGTATCTTTTCAGTTCTCAAGGTTAATATATTTGATGGGTCAGATTGTTTGAAGGTTAAAATGCATTAGGAATTGCCACAGGAACAGATTTTTACTGTACTCTCCATGTATTTGGCTGGTTGGTCACAGTTTGCTTTTACTGCCTACAGTAAGCTCAGCAAAACAGGCACTGCTGGGCAGCAGCATCAGAAAGGCTGTGCGCTTGTGCCGTCCTGGCTGCTGCACTTGGCTGCACGCAGGCAAATCCCCCAGAGACACAGCAACCAGTCCTTCCCGTGTGCCAGCGAGCAATGCCCACTACCGAAAACTACTTGAGAACCAACTGAGGATGAAGGAGGACTGGAGAAGAGAGACAGACTGACACGCCAAGACTCGCAAGAACAGAGAGACTGGGGAGAAGAGGGCACCTACAGACAAATGTCACCGGTTTACCAAGACAGACGCTCATTTCAGAACCATAGGCAGCAGCTGGGTGATGCTGGCTTCCAAACCACTGTTCTTAAATTCACTCAGAAGATGTATTCGGTAACAAGTTACTAGTTTACATGGTCTAATATGTGACTTATTTACGTGCCCAAATAAAATTCAGCTGTGGCTGCCTAGACCTGTCTTCTAGAGTAATTACTTCCAAGAAAAAGTGCTGTAGTCCCCATGAGACACTACAGCCAACTCAGGGTTAAGTCATACTCTGAAAAACAATTGAGAGCCTTCCCTTTGATCCAGTACACAATCTAAACCTGAAAAGATCCCTGTGTTTGCTGTGAATGATTAAGGAAGTGTTCTCTTCCACGTCATTTTCCCCTTTTGCTCGTTAAACTCGCTTTGTATATTGCTGCTGTATTGAAAAAGTGGAAATCTGAGACTGTATGGCTGCATATGGCCCTTTCCTGTGACTGACAGGTCCTTCAGCCAGGAAGACCAGGCACCACTGGTCTACTTTTGCATTACCCAGTGTAGTTAGAGTATTTCTTATGCCTGTATACCCAAGTAATTTCACTTACCGCTTATTTGGATCCTTTATCAGTAGGCCTGATAGTAATGATTTTGCATCTGCAGACAGAGTTCGAGGAAATTTTATGTCCTCCATTAGTATCAGTTCAAACAGTTTCTCATGATCTTGGTTGTAGAACGGTAATCTTCCACACATCATTTCATACATGACAACCCCTAATCCCCACCAGTCCACTGCACGACCATAGTCATTATCTTCCAACACCTAAGACAAAAACCAAAGCCAGCTGTAAGCCATGCACTATTTCAGATACAATCATTTCAGTCTATTTGATCCATCCCTGTATTAATGTGTTTGCAAGGCTTTATTTTCCAGTGTGCTACAAGGACTTCCAGAGTGTGGCTCACTCCATGCAACTGCAGCACTGACTCACACACCCGAGCTCACTGAAATTCCAGGCATACCGGGGACCGTACTGCTAAAAGCAAAATAAAAAATTGAGGATGACCTGCTCAAAATTATCAGGACTGCATTTTCCCCTGTCCTATGTCATCTACGATCCCATTTATAGTGCACACAGCTCTAGGAAGAGACACTATCTACGGGCACTACTGCCTCAGTTAGCATTCTTATGGGAGAAGAAGTGAAGCATCTCCTTGCCCGGTCACTTCCTCTCTCCTTACCCCATCTGTAAGAATAAAGCCTCAGATTCAGAAACACCTTAATCTAAGACCGCTCAGCTTCTTTACCATCTTTGTTTATTTTAAAAGTCCTCAATGCGTTTCTCCTGCCAGTTTCATTACGTTCCATGAAACAGTGCAACAGCTGAACCGTGTTAGTGCAAAGAAACATGAGTGTTTACACGATACTCTGTTTACACGATATTGTATGATCACAGAAATACGGTACCATTTATATAATTTGTTAACATAATGCTTCCAATGTCACATCCCTAAAAACAACCTGCTCCACAGCCCTTCTCCCAGCAGCTCCAGCAATCAGAATAAGGAATCTAAGCAGTGTGTCTTGACCTTAGTACATCTTCACATTAAATTGTACGAACGGAGACAACATAAAAGCAGCATACACCCATAGTGAAACCATAAGCAAAAGGAATCTGAAGGCTACTGAACACATACACATATAATTACAATTTCTGTGAATTTCTAGAAGATCATACCCTTTCATTCCAAAAGATGCAACGGTTAGAAGTTACTAAATGTTAATACAGAAGGCACTGCAACTGCATGTGCCAAATTGCCAATATTTGCTGCAGAAAGAACTATTAAAGAGACAAAAACCTTAGAACAATAAATTAGACTTAAATTATAACCATTTAGAAAGATCAAAGAAATGCAAGTAATATGTTAGACTATAATTATAAAGAATTAATTCTTTACAAAGAAATGTTTCTGTGTCGTTAAAAGGCAGATTCTGAAAGGCATCATGACTGATTTAAAAAAAAAAAAAACCACCAACAACAAACTAACCCACACAGAACAAAATACATTTTATTACACTCAGACACATGCAATCGCCACCACAAAGAGCTCACCCAGATTCAAACTGTATGTAGACACACAGGAGCATAGATACACAGTAGTGAAAATCTGGTGATGTGCAGTAAAACCTTTCGGCTTCAATGAATAAGGCAACCTCTAGCAGATTGGAACTAACTTTTTTCCATGAGTACATTACCTTGTGATTACCTAAAAAGTGTAAGATGACTTCCAATCATTTCCTCTGAAGCAAGGGCAGACCCAGCTCTCGCCCACCTGGGGACACTAAGTGGCCCTGACCACATCATGGGGCACATGCACCACCCTCGCCAGTCCTAGTGAGGGGCGTCAGCTTGCTGAGCTGCCTCTCCTTTTTCTCCCCCAGTAAACCCAAGCCCGCTCAGAAATATCTAGTACACACTATTTGCAGTAACAAAATACAATCTGATCCAGTATGGCAACTTTGACAATCCCACAGTAATTAATGCATTCCTATTCCTAGTTTTCACTGTCCTTAAGGATTAGTAGTAGAAACACGATGAAAAGAAGTGGATTACAAATCCCCCTTGTGTATATAAGATTAAAAAATCATAAATATTAACACATTAACACATACTATTTACAACTGTGCCAAAACACACAGACTCGTTACATCATTGATATTTCCAAATAGAGGGTGAAATTTTGGAAAGTGTAAAACACAACAAATTATCTGAATAAGTACATATGACAAAACTAACTAAAATAACTCCCGCATTTTAAAATCAATTAAATGTTTCATGAGTTTGAGCATATTGCAAGCTATTTGCTGAAAAACTCTGTATGAAATCTGTGACGCTTGTCTTTAAATCCCCATTTCTTCTACCACCGAATAAAAAGCATTATGTATTTTTCTCCTATAGCTATTAGCACTGTCATCTGTACAGTTACTCTTTTCTTTGGAAACTAGTAAAATACATAAAATTGTGAGGCAGTGATAGATTCTTTTTACAAGTTGAGGTGTTATTTGTATGTGTGATTTATAAAAGAAGGCAATGGGAAGATAAAACGTATCGTTCTCTGAACAAGGCAAATCACATGGCCGATAGCTAAAGCAAACTATCTGGGGCTTTACCTAATTTATGCAGGACTTTACCTAATAATAATAAAAAGTATGAGCAACCTTTTGCTGCATTCCCTCAACAGCAACAAAACAGTGGTACAAAGAAAGAGCCAAATGTGATTTTTAACCTCTTTTTACATAAAATCATAAAAAAGCATAAAAGCTGGATTAACTGCCTCCCGAACCCGCGTATCACCAGCCGGGTTCTCATCCCCAGCTGGCAAAACTGGCAACTCTTTATTTTTGTTTAAATACCTGGTTTACAGCCAGCCAGACAAGCAAGAGCATCAAAAGGGTTTCATTTAGACGAAAGGAAAACAGCCTGAAAATAGTGTAAATAAAGGAAAATGCATCTCAACTTATTTTAATATAAACGTAATAAAATTGTGCATAAAGCAGTCACAGTAAATACCATTATTTTCTTTAAGTCATTTCTATTCCTCATGGTGTTACGAAACTCCCGGATTTGTAGACTGTGACAAATCAATGGAAGTGCTGGAGTCCAGCAGCTCCTACAACCAAATCCATACAATTAGGGCAGGCATGAGAACATGTCTATGCACTCTGCTTTAGCATTACAGAGTCCTTTCCAAACAATTCTTGGATTTGAGGGCTTTGTTTTTAATTACACTGAACACAGGTCAAGAAAGCTTCAACTCAGTGCTAAAATGAACATGACACATAGCTGCAGGCTTTGCACCTACAAATAATTCAATCTTTTGCCTACCACGAGGTGGATACCTGCTTTTAGAAATGCCTCCTTTGGCTGAGAGGGCTGATACTGCTGTCACTCCAGCATTTGTGGGGTGTTCCTGTGTACGTGGGGTACCAGCCTAAGCACCCTGCCAGGCGCAGACACAGTGGAAAGTTCAATCTCTTGGAATTCATGCACTGCCCTTACAAGCTGCCTCCATTAACTCCAGCCAACTCTTGTCCCCTCCTGTAAAGACCCACACATCCGTCTTTAAGAGAATACACTGTCCTAACAACCCCGCCCCTTCAAGGTCACAGCAGGAAAGGCAGCAGGCCCACCAAAACCATCATAAAGGGCACAGGCTCAGCCACTCTGGCATCTGTTCTAAAGTAACATATTTGTAGTTTCTAGGGGCATCACACAGAATGGTCACATGGAACTCATAAGATACAGAGAGACCAGCTACACTGAGCGTGTACGCCAGTCAGGCACGTTTGCATGAAGTACAGTTGAAGTTCTATGCTTTCTTCCACAAAAACTGTTTAAATAGTCATTTAGATATGTGACGCGTGGGGTGCCAAAATCCCAAGCCACCTCATCAAGATCTAAGTGAGGTTTTAGGAGACGAGAGCTCCAGCAAGATGCGACTTCGGTGCGTGGGTAACATTTATAGTCACTCACCCCTATCTTACACCTCACATTATCACTTGACCCAGGTGACTTCCCAGTGTTGAGTAAAGCAGGAGGTGGGCTGACTGCAGCTCAGCCTGGATGATACCATACATTATGGGAAACAAAACTCAAAAAATGACCATCATTTTTCTTACTTGAGGGAATCGGTTTGTTTTTAGGGCTCTAGCTCAACAGCTGGCTCTTTCAGACACAGTGCCGGCCTAACCCACACTCTTGTTTCTGTTCCCTCACCCACAGCTTCCCTTACTTTGCCAAAACTGTGCAACACGCTACATCAGAGTACACCAGTACTAAGAAAATGGAAAAAAAAAGTTTCACCCTGGGTTATTTGTCACCCGAATCAAGTTTTCTGACCTGAGCCACTCAACAGCCACCTGAACAGCTGTGGTTGTGCAAGTGAGAACACCAGGGCAGGCAGCATCGGATGCCACCGCTGCAGAAAGCGATGCTTTTCCAACTCAGCCCCGAAGTTACACCCCAGCAGCTACACTGACTCTGCCAGCCAACCCTGCACACACAGACAGCTGCAACGGCCGTGCTCGCTTCATGGGAAGATTAAGGGCCTGATTCTCTTCCCAACCTGTATTTCCCTAAGGCACTCCAGCAGCGCAACAGGGTTGCAAAGCGGGCGTAAACTCTTCGCTGCACCGAATCCACTGCCGTTTTTACAGGCGTTGGTGCTCCTCCAGCACTTACACCTACACCTGCAGTCCGAGGCCACAGCCTGGGTTTGTATACGGATGCTTTTAAAAAAGCTGCAGAGGTGCTACTGAAGTTCGTACTTTTCCAGTCTCAGATAAATATGCAAGAGGTGAAGTAACCCTTAATATGCAAGATGTTAAGTAACATCCTTTCTAACAAGCAAGAGACGTTAGGCAGCTGCTTCCAGGCACATGCAGCTACTTCAGTGCTTTTGTGGATGTTTTAGAGGCACTGGACGATATTGTAGTTTCAGCTAAGGGAAATCTATTTATTTACCTTAAACTTTCATTTGTATTGTGGTCAAAAGGCAACTCAACTCTTTTTTAAATACACTGAGATAGCAGGAATAGCTATCTGTAACAAGGGAAAACAAAGTGTTCTCTAGTGACTCCACTGGCTCTGCACACTTGGGGGTCTCTGAGGAGTATTATCAGCAATGACCAAGTATAGGATGGGATAGCGCTTCATACGCAAAGACCATCAAGCCCTACATACAAAATAAAAAAATCCAGCTCACAGCCTTTGTGATGACTAAGAGAACACAATCACACTGCAGGGCTGCTAAGCCCACAGT